CGCCACAGCTGGACGCCCACCGACCGAGGACAACGCTCCCTTGTCCTTGTGTCAGGCTTGTGGGTGACACCCACAGCCAAAAGAACCCGGGTGGGGTGGGGCGAGCGCGCCTTGATTTGTGTGTGTGGACGGGTCTGCAGAGCCCCAGCACAGCCGTCACTTCCAGAGGCGCTTAGGGCTCAGGGGAGGAGGTGAACGCGGGAGCGGAGCGGAGCGAGAAGCGCCTGAGGCCTCGGAGGGCGAGGGGGAGGAGTGTGGGGAGCAGCCCAGGCGACGTCTATTCCACAATAAAACATGTTTACATGTAGTCCTGCACCTTTCCTTTCAGGATTTAAATATCATAAATTCCGTTATTTCTGCATCAATTGAAAATGCAAGTTTGCATTTTCATAATGCAAATTTAATACTTATCACGGAACCCACCCAAGACTGATAGACAAAGATGCCAGGAAGATACCAGGAGCCTGGCTTTACAGGTGAGCCTGCAGTGGTCCCATAGCAGGAACAACAGCGATCTCTCCCCTCAAATTAACTTGCAGAGCACATAATTGATGGAAATGACTCATTGAAATTCAAACCAAACATTAAGTCAATCCTCTTAATACCAGGGCTCATCTTAAAAATAAGCAAGAGAGAGAAGCTGAATCTATCCAAAGCTTGGGTGAGAGAAAGGCAGGGGAAGAGAGAAAGGAAAACATTCCAGATGGGAGTATGAGAGGTTCCATGAAAAGCAAAATCATTTCAGATAATTGCAAGGAGGGAAGGCAAGGAGGCAACAATCAGGAGAGCTCTGATCTGAATGATTTTTCTGGCCATATTTGTGTTAAAATTTAGCTCTGAGCATATAGACACTCCCATAATTAACCTCAAACTCTACCCCAAAACCTTCAGGAAATTCTTAAAATGTAAATTAAATTCACACTCTTTAGTCTGTATGTTAAAGCCCATCAGAACTGGCTTCAACTTTCCTGTACAGACTCGTTTGCTACGATGCCCCTTCAGGTTCCCCCAAGTCAAGTCAAAGTGGATGGCCCCAGATCTGCCTTGAATATGCCCAATACTTACACACACACACACACACCCCACGTTCTTACCTCTTTGTCTCTGCTTTTGCTGTTCTGCCTACCTAGATACTCTCACTACCTGGGTACATTTCCCCTTTTCAAAATAGCAAGCATCCTTCAAGGCTGGTCCACAGCTAACTAATATTGCTTTCAAGACATGACCCCTACTTCCTCTGAACTTCATTTATTAAGTAAATTTTTTTTAATCTCTGTTACATGACAGTCCCCCTGCCGTTGCAGCTGTATGTACCCCAGCACTTAGTTCGTCCTCCTACAGCAAACGTCCTGCTCTGTTATAGCTGATTGTTGATAGGTTTGTCCTCTGATCCTCCTCTCTCTGCCTCCCCAAACTAGGTTTTGAACTCCTTGAAGGAGGAACTTAAATTTTGTGCTTCTCTCTGTTACCTGCATGCCTGCATTTTACATTAGCTGGCACTCAGCTGGCACTTGACTAAATTGAAATGTGCTTAAACTGCAGCATAAGGTATTGAAAGACTTCCTGACAAAGAGGGAGAAGTTAGGAGATTCTTCCCTGGATATTTTCCATTTGATAAAAGCTTCCATCTGGGAAGAATCACCCAGGATGCAGGGAGATGGGGGTCAAACAAAAGAATCCCAAAGGACCTGGTCATCTCAAGAAGCCTGTAATGCAACCTATGGTAATCGAGATAACAGTGAACATCCTGCTTCCCAAGTTCTCTTGGGAAACCTGCCTGTAGATCCTAGGGCTCTGGGGGAGTCATCTCAGGCAAGGAGTCTGGGGAGGAATCCCCTTTTCATGGCCTTAGGGTTCAGGCTCCCCTGCCCATCTATCCCTCAGAGAAGTGTGTGTGTGTCCCTTTTTCTGTCCCTCTCCCTCACCTCCCCCCTCAACATTCCAGCCTAGGGCAGGGGAAGGCCAGCAGACAAAAGTCCTCTGTGTATGGGGTGGTATGTGTCCCCCCACCTCTCCACCCAGAGGACACAATGCCCTTTCTGCACCCTGCACTCTACCCCCCTCCCCACCACCTCTCAACTGCACATGCCAGGCTGCAATTGGTTACTGGCTCAGGACGGCCTCCTCACACTGGGGCCCCAGGGGATTTTAAGCAGGTTCCAGGAACCCCTGCTCAGTTCCTGGTCCCCCACTCTCCCAACCCCACAGACCCTGCCCCAGCTATGGCTCCTGGGGCTGCCTGGTCCAGCCCCGGTCCTATCCTGACTGCGCTGCTCTTCTCCTCTTTGGGTAAGTGGAGCCACACCAGCCTGGGGGCCCTGGGACTCAGGTTCTCCCAGCAAACTTCCCACTGCCTGCCCTGTACTACCTACTGCAATCGAAGAAAGAGCAAGAAAGAGCAGGAAGGGGATATTATGCTCAGAGTACAAATATACAGCTTGGAGGGAGGCATAAAGGTGTTCTGTGAGAGGAGAAGGTAAAAGAGACTGTAGAGGGCTTCCCTGAGGTGGACCAGACTAGACCCAGGTTCAAAACCAGTAACATTCCCCAGAGCCACACTGAGGGCCTAGGGGCAGCAGTGTCAGAGCAAGGTAAGTCCCTACTCATCGCCTAGTACAAAGGTACCAACCCTTAGTTTCCCTGAAGGGAAAAACCAGAGATTGTGATCTAAGGAAAGGTCCCAGGTTTGTGGTCCCACTTCCTTGGGTCCTTTGCCTCTTGGTGCCTAGATTTCTCTCTGTGGACCAATTGTCTATTATGTGGGTAAAAGGTGTAAGAAGGAGGGTCTGTGAGATCCTAGGATTTTGTTCATCGAAAGCTATCTTCCTTTGTAAGTTGATCAACCCCTCCCTTGCCCCATAGAAGATGTTGGGTGAGCAAGAGAAGGTCAAAGCAGGGTTATCTGAATGGATCCTTCCCTCCTTTTCTGAACTGTCCTGGAGCAGTAGGCAAATGGGTGGGGGCTGCTCAGAATGTCCAAGGTTGTTCTCTGATGTCAGCTTCTTGAGTCTTCAACCCAAACCTAGACTCTTCTGGGGTACCCTGAGGAAATGTTGGACAAGGGCATGGTGAGGGAATGAGGACAGGGAATCTTGAAGTATAAGGGGAGAGAGTTCTGTCTGAGCACCTGTCCCACTCAGCAGAGCTAAAGGGCAGGGGGGTGTTAGAACAGGAAGAAGAGAAGGTAGGTCCAGTGACTAACTTCCCTAGCTGCATTTGGGATTCCCAAGAAGGCTCTAAGGTGGAGGTCCCAGGCAACAAGTCAATGATATTACATGCTGAGGTGGGAGATTCAGAACTCTGTGGGGGTGGCATGAGTCCCCAACATTGCTCAGACAGTGGGTCTCTCTGTTCAGCTGCTTGTTCCCCCTCCCATAGAACAAAAGGGTCTACAGTTGCCCCCACCCAAGGCCAACCCACACACATAATCTCCCTGGAATGGCCTTCCTTGTGTGGGTGAGTCTTTGGCATGGCACTGGCCCAGAATGGCCAAGAGGAGGGTGAACCACAGAGGGCTCACACGCAGAGTCATCTGAACGCTGGGCTTGGGTTCTTGCTCAGTACCCAGCTTCCCTTGGGTACTGGATGAGGCCCTTTCCTCCCTGACCCCCCAGTCAAGAGCAAGCTGTATGACAACCAGAGAGTCAGCAGTGAGGAGAGTTGGGCCAAGGAAGAAGACTTACATTCTCTAGTTATCTTTTTTTTTTTTTTTTGTAGGAAATTTGATTTTGCTTTACTGTGAAATACTATGCAGCTTTTAAAAACAAGATTCTCTGTGAATCAACAAGGAAACTCCCTACACATATTCTTTTTTATACATATATATATATTAATATATCTTTATTGATTTCAGAGAGAGGAAGGGAGAGGGAGAGAGACAGAAACATCAATGATGAGTCATTGATCAGCTGTGTCCTGCACGCCCCCGACTGGGGATGGAGCCTGCAACCCGGGCATGTGCCCTGACTGGGAATCGAACCATGATCCCCTGGATCATAGGTCAATGTTCAACTGCTGAGCCATACTGGCCAGGCTATACATATATTCTTAAGCATAAGTACCTGCATATCTTGAGTTTATTACATTTATATTGAGTTTGATTCATAGAAAAAGGCTACACATTAAACTGATAACAAACAGGAAAGGAATTGGTTGAGATATCAAGAGAGACTTTAGCTTTATCTCTTTTGCTTGAATAGTTTATAAGAAGAATGTAATATGTGTTACCTGTATAATTTATAATAAATTTTAAAAATTGTAAAGCCTACATCATAGGAATAGCTTAAGGGTTTGATACTGAGCCTGAGGGAAAGTGAAATTGGAGACAAACTCCAGCTTCTGGTTGTCCCCAGGGAGTGGTCGCTGCCGTTCCCTTCCCTCTTAGACATGCTGATATGCTTGGACCAGCGCAGCATTTCGCTCAGCTACTCAGTGAGTCCAGAGACTAGGCCCTCAGAATTGATCACTTCTGCCTCAGTCTCTGCTGTGACCTGACAGCCTGGACCTGCACTGATGTCACCTCCTCTGTGTCTGTGCTGGGCCCACATGTACATCTGACCCTGCTCTGTATTTGCAGTGCTGTCCCCAGCCCAGGCCATTGTGGTTTACACGGACAGGGAGGTACATGGTGCTGTGGGCTCCCGAGTGACCCTGCACTGCTCCTTCTGGTCCAGTGAGTGGGTCTCAGATGACATCTCCTTCACCTGGCGCTACCAGCCTGAAGGGGGCCGCGATGCCATCTCGGTGAGTGCCTGGGGAATCCTGGGATTGCATAACAGAATGGGTGCCTCAAAGACAGAAAAGGGAACTGGGGGTAAGGAGGGGGAAATCCTTTATGAACCATAACCCCAACTTGGCAGAGTGTCAATCTTTGTCACCCTGACTAGTGTCTATCTGCACTGTCCCCTCCCCAGCACTGCCCACCCTGCCCAGGATCCCCTCCCGTGGCTAGAGCTGTATGCTTCCCTTGCTTCTCCTAGATCTTCCACTATGCCAAGGGACAGCCATACATCGACGAGGTGGGGACCTTCAAAGAGCGCATCCAGTGGGTAGGGGACCCTCGCTGGAAGGATGGCTCCATTGTCATACACAACCTGGACTATAGTGACAACGGCACTTTCACCTGTGATGTCAAAAATCCACCAGACATAGTGGGAAAGACCTCTCAGGTCACACTCTATGTCTTTGAAAAAGGTGTGAGAGAAGACAGAGGATGGGATCTGGGAGGCAGAAAAGGCAGGGATCAGGGAGGAATGGGAGGCTGGAAGAAGAGGTCAAATGCCAGGCTAATGCCAGTCAGGCTCTGGGAGGGTGGGCAGAACACAGCTTTGGCCCCTACCTCCCTGCCCACAGGGAGGAGGTGTGGGGCTAGGTCCCCCTGGGTTCTCACTCGCTTCCCTCCCCTCCCAGTACCGACTCGCTATGGGGTGGTGCTGGGTGCCGTCATCGGGGCCATCCTGGGCGGCGTGCTCTTGCTGCTGCTGCTCTTCTACCTGATCCGGTACTGCTGGCTACGCAGGCAGGCGACCCTGCAGAGGAGGCTCAGGTAGGGACCAGGGGCCACTCCGGTGGCGGGAGGGCCAAAGGGAAGGGGCTGCTGCTGGCGCCGTGGGGGCCCCACCCACAACCTCTGTCTCCCCGCAGTGCCATGGAGAAGGGGAAACTGCACAAGTCTGGGAAGGACACGTCCAAGCGTGGCCGGCAGGTTAGCGGGGCTTGGGGCCTGGACAGCTGGGGAGGACAGCCCTGGGCGCCGCCCAGCAGAGTGAGGGGTGGGCCGGGTGACTGACGTGCGCCCCTCCCCAGACGCCGGTGCTGTATGCCATGCTGGACCACAGCAGAAGCACCAAAGCTGCCAGTGAGAAGAAGTCCAAGGGGCTGGGGGAGTCTCGCAAGGATAAGAAATAGCGGTTAGCGGGCCGGGCGGGGGCTCGGGGGTCAGGGGCGGAGTCCTCCAAAGGCGCTCAGGTGGTGGTCATCGAGATGGAGCTTCGAAAGGATGAGCAGAGCTCGGAGCTCAGGCCTGCTGTCAAGTCCCCCAGCAGAACCAGCCTCAAGAATGCCCTCAAGAACATGATGGGCCTGGACTTGGACAAGTGATCAGCCCCAGGCCCTGCCAGAGCTGGGGGACCCAGGCTCCTCGATGCCCCGTCTAGGTGCTTTCCTCCTTAGCACCCCAGCCTGCCCTGCCCTGCCCTCACTTCCCTTTGAGATATAAGTTTCATTCCAAAATTCATTTCCCAGGCACGGCATATTCTCCCCCACCTTCACCCTCTGGCTTTCTGGGAGTCCAGGGCCTGATCCTACCCTGCACCGCCCCCAAGGACTGTGTGTTTGGTGCCTGTCCCTCTGGCACCGAGAAGAAAGGGACCTTGCTACCCTGCGCCTCGACTCCAGGCCACCTGCATCCCCACCCTTGCACCCCACAGCCTGCCCCTCTGCCTTTTCCCACTCTGACCCGCCCTCCGCTCGGTCAGGTGGTCCAGCTCCATACATGTCCTCCCAGCTAACACCGAGATCATCCAGATCAGCCTCTCCTTCAGGGTTCATTTAAGTGGTTAGTTTTCTTTTTTTAATCCATGCTTGTTTGTTTACCAGTGCCTTTGCTCTGCCCCCGCATGACTGAGTGCCAATGACGTCATGTGGATGTTTTGATTCCCCACCCCCATTAAGTCCTTCATGGGGAGCCAGCCCAAGCAGAGGGGCCCTGACCCTCAAACCTCAGCTACAGGATTGGTGCCCTCTGACCGCTCTGGAGCACTGTTCTGGGACTCAAGGTCATGGGGAAGGAGAGAGACGGTGGATCCACACAGGTCAGGGGCTGTGAAGAGGGGCAAATGAGCCTTAAGAAATGGCTTGTAAACAACCAAACAGAAAGGAGGAAAAACAAATGAGAAATAGGGGGAAAGGGAAGAGGCTGCATTTCCAGCCACAGGGGTTTCTTAGGATTTTTCTACATTCTGTATATTTCTTCTCAAACCCCCAAATATCCTTATATGTTTAATAAACACTGACATTTCCAGAAGCTGCTGCCTTCATCTCCAATTGCTTCATTCTTCTGGGAACAGCCCCTGCCTTTCTCCCACCTTCCCTCGCCAACTCCTCCTGTTCCTCAACTAGTTTCCGTTAAGAACCTGGTTTTATGGTCTAGGCTCACATAGTGCAATGAACTAGACTCTGAAATAGGCTCACAAGATACATTCAAACACTCAACAAACATCGAGTGGGCTCATACTATGTGTGAATCTGTGAGACAGACGCTGCATTTACACTTGGAGGGAAGATGGAGAGGAAGGGGAGGCAGCAGATCATTGCAGTGATTCCAGGGAGGACTGGTTCTCGGGAGCCCAGTTCAGCAGAGTTGAGGATGCTGCCAGGGGCCACTCCAACTGCAAACAACTCCAGAAATAATGGAAACACAGCAAGGGTGAGAGGGTGGGGGAGAGAGGCAGAGTGGGCCTTAAGGGCAGCTCCTTAAAAGGACATTAGGGCAGGGGTGAAGGCAAGAATAAGAGATGGAACCCCGGCCAGCGAGGCTGTGGTTAGTGTCGGCCAACGCACCTGCGCACCGGAGGGTTTGAATCCCGGTCCAGGGCATGTGCCTGGGTTGCAGGTCCAGTCCCCACCTCCTGCTAGGGTGCGTGTGGGAGGCACCCAATCAATATGTCTCTGTCACATTGATGTTTCTCACCCCCACCTCTCACCCACCTCCTTCTTTCCCCCTCCCCCCTCCATTCCACTTTTTTAGAATCAATGTTAAAAATATCCTCACTCCTTGTGTGAGGATTAAAAAAAAAAAAAAAAGAATT